CGGACGGCCAGTCAAGGGGAGTGGCGACTGTCGTCCACGGACAACCGGTCCAGGGTGGTGGCGACTGTCGTCCACGGACAGCCGGTCCAGGGTGGTGGCGGCTGTCGTCCAGGGACGGCCAGTCTAAGGTGGTGGCGCCTGTCGTCCACGGACAGCCGGTCCAGGGTGGTGGCGCCTGTCGTCCACGGACGGCCAGTCTAAGGTGGTGGCGCCTGTCGTCCACGGACAGCCGGTCCAGGGTGGTGGCGCCTGTCGTCCACGGACAGCCGGTCCAGGGTGGTGGCGGCTGTCGTCCACGGACAACAGGTCCAGGGTGGTGGCGCCTGTCGTCCACGGACAGTCGGTCCAGGGTGATGGCGACTGTCGTCCACGGACAGCCGGTCCAGGGTGGTGGCGGCTGTCGTCCACGTGCAACCGGTCCAGGGTGGTGGTCACAACTGTGGAAGAAAGCATAGCCCGACAAGAAATATCCGAAACAAGGACCTTCATTCTGTCACTTGATTTTTCTCAAGAAACCCTTGTATGCTTTTATCACCTTGCTTTTTAGCAGTCAGCATGTAAAACTTCCGAATTTGTTCGTACCTTAAATGTTGCGGCAAAAAGTTATATCTCAAAAAGTAATCTTGGCAATCCAGGCGCATGAAAGGCTGAGGGTCTCTATCGGTCATCGAGTCGATTTCGAAATTATGAAGTACATTGCAACAAACGGCGAAGTTTTTAAGTCCTGTACTAGAAGGGTGGCGGCGAGGGTGTCAAAAAAGTAAAGTATAATTATTCCGGGTCAGCTGATATTTCGTTCCATGTTTCGGAGATGCCCAGAAGCAGTCGTGACCCATGTGTAAATAAAACGTGAGCTAACACGGCCAACGGACACAGCTGCCGCAACTTCAAACTCATTTCTTACAAAAGATTGTATTATAACTTTGTATTCACAAATTCGAGCGGTGGGAACTTTATCAAAGTATCACCACTGTCCGAAGGCTCCTTATTTCGGAAAGGGTTATCCCAGAAACGCTGCTGGTGAATGGATAAATTTAAAGAGAGAGCCAGTTGGCAACTCAGCTCAACTCAAAAGCCAGCCCGGCTCCATCTGTTTTGCTTTCACCTTCCACTGGCAAATGTGTTAAAGGAGAAGGCTGCTGCATTCTAACATTGCCTCCGTGTGCTGGTTGTGTTGAGCCAAAAAATACATGTCAGCTTCTTCGAAAAAACTAGTCGTTTCTTTTTAGCTTCGTCTTAACGTTTTCCAAAGGCGCCAGCTTGGGACTCGTCGCCCAGCACAACAGACCAGTCTGCCTGGTCCCATCCGGTAAAACCTCTCACAAGCCATCCAATGCGGTCACACGATCACACCATGTAACCGTGGGGACCGTTTCGCCTTCCGCCAACTGGCATGTGTCGCAGATCACTTCAAAGATCGGTGTTGAGCCCGGTTTGATCTGGTCGTGCTCTCTGAAATCCAATCCACGTGCTACTCCGGCTTTTTAACTTTTAGGAATCCAATCTGCTCCGCTTCTGCTTAGCAGCCTTTTAACTTCGCCGTGACGTTTTCCAAAGATGACAGCTTGAGGCTTTCGCGTCGCCCAGCACGACAGACCACTCTGCCTGGTCCCATCCGGGGGAACCTCTCACAAGCCATCCAATGCGGTCACACAATCACAGCATGTAATCGTGGGAACCCTTTCGCCTCCCGAACCAACTGGTATATGTATCAGAGCACGTCAAAGATTGGTGCTGAACCCGGACCCATCTTGTCGTGCTCACTAGAATGCAATCTACCCGCAACTCTGGCTTTTTGTAATTTGGAATCCAATCTGGTCCGGCTCTGCTTAGCACACGTCTTTATGTCCATCCAATCTGTATTCAAGCTTTTGCTTCTGTCATAACAAACAGACAAAATTTGACACATTTCAGCACGTTGAAATCTTTCTCTTGAGCAAATTCCATGGAAGTATTGTAACCGGCTACAAAAACAAGCAATCAATATATTAATTTGTAGCATTTTCAGCGGTTGTAAAACCCACTGTTACCAAATGATGACTTTCATTATCAACCTGACTTACATGGAAGTATGTCTAAACGTATATCTGGGACATAAACCAGATGTGTAGTATTCTATATTAATTGCTTTAACTCTAAACTCTTAAGCACATGGTAGGCCTAGTGAAAAGGAAAATTCCGGTCCAGATGACATTGACGGAGTCGAGCGGATAGTAATGTTCTGCATTTCATAAGCCCTAATTGAGCTGCTAATTGCAGCTCAAAGGTGCCAGCGGTAATTCAGCATTTTCAGATTTTTAGAACTCAGCTGAAAATACATGTGCAAGCTCTTAGGCTATTGCTTTAATGCTACACAAACTCACAGAGCTGGCAGATCCCGAATGTATGAGCTCACATACAGTTTTTGCACCACTCAGTGCTTCGTGACCAAGCAACGTCACTGGGTACCACTTTTCCAAAACTAAGAAATGGGGCCATCTTCCTATTCCGATGTCTCCGGAAATTATGAGAGGTTGCTGAAAAATGCCGGGTGAGGTTATGCCATATCACCTTTTCAAACAAAACGCGTCTCACCTCAGTTATAATTCCCAACATGTTTTCCGTCTTGGTCACCCCAGCAGCAAAAATGGCCGAAATTGAACTCGCTGCCACTGTTAGTTGAGTGCAAAGAATCTAAACGGGGTGCCCGCATCTCACATGGTCATCGCGATCCATGGAAGAGAACAACAAGGCTGGTAGCACGGCAATGCTGGGGGCCCTTACAATTTAGCGTCTTGGCCACTGGAGAAGCTGCGCCACTTTTGAACTATGGTATGCTGCTCTGAATTCATCACCGTTCTCTCTCTCTCTCTTCTCTCTCTCTCTCTCTTCTCTCTCTCTCTCTCTCTCTCTCTCCTCTCTCTCTCTCTCTATCTCTCTCTCTCTCTCTCTCTCTCTCCTCTCTCTCTCTCTCTCTCTCTCTCTCTCTCTCTCTGCTCTCTCTATCTCTCTTCTCATCTCTCTCTCTCTCTCTCTCTCTCCTCTCTCTCTCTCTCTCTCTCTCTCTCTCTCTCCTCTCTCTCGCTCTCTCTCTCTCCTCTCTCTTCTCTCTCTCTCTCTCTCTCCTCTCTCTCCCTTCCTCTCTCTCTCTCTCCTCTCTCTCTCTCTGCGTCTGCGTCTGCCGTGTGCGGGCCCTGCGCCATTCTCTCTCTTCGCGCCTGGTCATTCTGCGCGTTTTTGCGGTGCCGTCGGCAGAGCACCGCACGCCGTCCTCCAGCATCACGGCAACGCTGCAGCGGTCGAGTCGGTTCTTCACCGCGCACTGACACCCAAGCCGACCTCGCCCAGCTGACGTAATTGGGCCTCAGAGTACGCGCCGACGCTCGAACCCGAACTCAGTCAATGAACTCGGGCGAATGCGGTTCGGCTAGCGGTCCGTGGAATAGTCCCGACGGCCTGCGAATGAAGGTCGAGTGCGCTTCTAGGGGTGAAACACGGCAATCTATCCTGTTTAAGGACCGGTTTTGTGGCTGCCCAGATCCTGACCTAGGTGCACCTCGCCGGGCCTTTCTCATAACAGAGCGGGCCGTACAGGAACGTACAAATGCGGCTCACGACCACGCTATCAGCGCGCATGGTGAACAGATGAATCGACAGTACTCGAACGCACGTCGAAATGCACGTTTCGTGATTAGAAGTCCGAAGTTTTTTTGACTACCACTCCATGAGAGAACGTCACAGAACTGTCCCACCTCATTATCCGTACCGGCCGACGGATTTTATGACAAGGGCCTGTACGTTTGGCAGTCAAGCTGTGGAGTTCCTAGACGAAGAGGCCAAAACTTGTTCTGGGAACGGTATCAGTAATTAACGGTCGGTCTTGATATGGCGGACCCGGGGGCAGACAGGTCCGGGCGTAGGCCGGGCCCTCGGACAGTGGACCAGATCAGTCCTACACCGACGGCGGCAGCGTGACGCGCCGAGCTCTGCCGATCGACGCAGCGTCCTTCAGAGGGGCCGAGGGGTCGCAGGGGTGAGACGACATCGCCAGCTGCTGCCTAGTCGGACTCTGCGGGGTACGGTTCGACGGCGGTCCCGCACCAGCCACAGCGCACCACCAGTGAGTGACCCCTGCGGTCCCAGCGGGCTCGGGTCGAGGCTGTTTCAAGGTGTACGGCAGCGGAATACCAGTCAGGAACGGCAGTATTCCCACCGAGTTCCGGTCAGGAGAAGGGCCGTGTCGCTGACGGCCAAGAGGACCGCCAGCCAGTGGGTTTGTGTCCGCAGTGTTCAGAGATGAGAATCATACGACGCCGTGCTGCGCGTGCGTGTCGTTTAAAGCCGTGTCGTTTGGGGCCGGCTCTCACATCCCATTTCTTCCGCTGGAAACGCGTCCTCGCGTCCGCTTGATCCGAGCTCTTGCCAGCGGGCGACGCGGTGGGCTGAGCACGAACTCAGTGATGATTGCGACCCACGGCGGGTTTTTGTGTGAAGACTCTTGGGATGCTAACGAGGGATCAGCATCGCGGTTACGGTCCGAAGTATGAACTGAGCGGACCGTGCCCTGGCCCCGATCTTGCGACCCGGTCTGGAGTCATTTGTCCCTGTAATGTAAGCTAAGTTGCACTGATGAGCTTGTTTGCGTGCCATGAATTCAATGGGGCGACCAATGCGTTTTATCGTCGCTGTTCGGTCAAAGGGATCACGCCGATCAGAAATCCAACGTGACATTGAGGCTCAAGCCTGCCGTGTGACACTTTTGTGGGCGTCAAGCCCATTGCCATGACGCTCTTGAGGAAAAGCCGCTAAAGTTTTCGCTCGTTCCAGTCGGACTTGAGCTTTCGAAATAGCTCTGATGGCGCATGCAGTGGGTTGATTCCGTGCACCATCGGTAAAGAAACATGGTTCGTATCCTTGACCAAGGCAATCGATCATCTGTCGCCAGCCAGTGAACGGGGGTCTTCCGCATATGGTGCCGAGCGGGCGTGGACGCACACTGAGCACACCCGCTGTTGTTGCAGATGAAGGCGGCCGGTTGTTTCGTTCTCATCGTGCTATGCTTAGCCGTCAGCTACCACGCGGTCGCTGCTCGGGATGTTGCCAGGTGAGGTCAGATCGGGTGCGCTGAAGGGCATGACATTTTTCTCAGCACTATTCGGGAGAAAACCGCTGCAATGTCAAGAGAAAATTATGTGGATACACGAAGCAATCTTTCTCTTGCCGCGCTGTGTTGTTATTACCTTCAAGCACCCTTGCGCAATGCACCGTTGCTTCGAAACTGCGCGTCATCGTGGTTTGATTAGATGCGCGCCTTTCCTTCCGCCATGGTCTCTGACGGGTACAGCGCTTACGCGCGCGCTGTGCATTGAACAGCACATATTTACGCTGCATACTGTGGCCTACGCCATTTGTGGCAACCTGAAGCACCCGTGTTTCAGGGCCAAAGAGAACTCGGATGCGGGATCGGGTACATCGACGGCAGCCGTGACAACCGTGACGGTGACAACAACGGACAGCCCGGTCACTGAAACGGGTTAGTGCCCCTCCCCCGCCCCCCCCCCCCCCCCCCCAACTCTTGGTTTTTCAGCGCGAACGTGTGTGGTTGGTCCTGTGATGAAGCCTGATGACAGATCCGGATAACCACCCTAAGATGCTAGTTGTAGTATCCCATCCCGTTTGCTTCGATCATTGCGTCCAGTTATATCCATGGACCTTCGAAGCAGGGTGCTTTGTGACCGACTGTCCACGCATCTACGAAGGGTCACACAATGCAGAAATTGGGCCGAATGTCTCGAAAGTGGACCAATCTTATTCTTCTAGCAATCACGTCGTCCTAAAAATATTACTGTGTGTGTGTGTATGGTTGCTGGCGTTAGTACCGGTTTAACCAATGCGCCATTACGTTGTCGTGATTTGGGGTTTGAGGGGGTGTCATTTGGGGCTTGGGAGGCTTCATTTGGAGTTTGCTGGTTAGTCCAACGGGGGCGAGTTTGTGACTAAAACTTCTGCCATGGCCACTCCGCACAGATCACAGCGGGGGTGGGTGTGTGACTGGAACTCCTGTCATGACCACTCCGCACAGATCACAGCGGGGGTGGGTTTGCGATGAGAGCTCCTGTCACGACCACTCCGCACAGCTCACAGCGCTAGTGTCCGCCGACCTTAAATGTCATGCCCTTCATGTCTTAAATAAAGGACAGTCACGACAGTCCGCCGACCTGCGATGATCGCCGCCCGCCCGTCCCGCTCGCACTAACGCCCTGTTGCGCTCGTTTCGCCGGCAGAGTCGGAGGCCGAGCCGGAGCCGGACCCCGAATGGGAGATCGTCTACTCGGTGTGGATGGAGCAGCTGCAAAAGGACCTGTCGGACGTCTGGGAGACGGCCTGATCAGAGATTGAACGGATGCCCATCTGATCAGAGAATGAACGGACACCCGCCTGATCAAAGTGCGCAGGGTCGCCCACCCGATCAAGGGGCGCAGGGTGGCCCACGCGATCAGAGGGCGCAGGATGCCCACATGATCAGAGGGCACAGGGATGCCTACCTTATCAGAAGGCGGGTATTCACACAGCCGTCCTGCAGTGCTGTTCAGCCAAAACGCTGCTGTCCAGCGTGCTACTCGTCCAGAGCGTCACAGGCGTGTCATGTGTCATATATGTAATTATTTCGCACATTCTGAAATCATACGCTGTGTAACACGGGTGGACGACATTTTTCACCACGCCCAGCTAGGATGGACGCTCAGCATTTATGGTGTCACGTTACTAACAGGTGCAGGACGCGGAGGGTGCAACGCTGCGTTTTGAAGGCACAAATCAAAATAGGTATAAGTGCAGTGGCATTATCATCTGCAACTGGCATTTGTTGAGCATAAATATTGCAAGCGATGCCCTGCGGTTGACATGGAAATAGCGTCTGTAGCCTCCTGCTGGAGAGACCGGTGCGTCTGCCTGTATGGTGCATCACCTTCTGACCGTCCGACGGAATACAGTCTGTTGCTCAATATATGGAGAAGAATGCAAATGCTTCAGCAGCTTCAGCTAAACCTTGATTAGTTTATGTTCACTTGGACGGCATGCTTCTACTCATATTTTTGTACGTTGCCGAGAACGAAACATCCTCTAGATTTACATGGCATCTTTCACTTCGTCAGCCCTTCATTCTTTCCGTTGCAATTCACTTGTAAAATTTTGGCCTCACTTTTTGGCGAACAGAGCGCAAAATGAATTATTTTGTACGACATGTGTAACTGCAGGCAAGTTGCAGCGAGACAGGAGGCCCTCCAATTCATCCGGAAATGGGCTTCGGTGGAGCGGACACCTTCACTGTTTCTGATTAGAGTGCTGCGCGCCAGCAGCTCGGCGAGCCTCGCCTGTCCGCAGCGGAGCGCCCGTCTGGCAGCTCCTCCTCCAGTGGTACGTCCCCTCGTGGACCTGCGCCCGTCTGGCAGCTCCTCCGCCAGTGGTACGTCCCCTCGTGGACCTGTGCCCGTCTGGCAGCTCCTCCGCCAGTGGTACGTCCCCTCGTGGACCTGCGCCCGTCTGGCAGCTCCTCCGCCAGTGGCACGTCCCCTCGTGGACCTGCGCCCGTCTGGCAGCTCCTCCGCCAGTGGTACGTCCCCTCGTGGACCTGCGCCCGTCTGGCAGCTCTTCCGCCAGTGGCACGTCCCCACGTGGACCTTCGCCCAGCCCGGCGTGCAGCCGGCCGGCAGGCTGTCTTGGACGGCGCGCTCATGTCTGCGTGGACGGTCAGCTGGCGGCGAGCCGTCAGCTCCTGACCCTGTGACGAGCTACGCCGACGGCAGCGACATCTGTCATGCAGCCCTGCACGCAGTCACAGGCGAGCTCATTAGGCTTCAGGTGATGCCGACGGCAATTAATTTGTAATCTACGGGAGTTGGGGCTTCTCCCAGACTTATGCAATTTATGGAGGATGGCCAGAATTACTAGACGACAGATCGCATGCAAAACTGTATATCGAGAACCGCACGACCGACCAGAACAGTATGGTCATTTAGGTCATGAGTGCTGAAACCAGGCATGGTGGGACCACTATCTAACTACACAGCTTTCCTACGCAGCTATCACTATCGAGAATACAGCTTATCTACTCAGAGTGTAGCACACAGCAACAGCGCATCATTGACATAATTGCGGAAACATCTAAACGCCGAACAGAATGCGCACGCTGCATCTAATGAGTAGCGCAAAGTTTGGCCATTTATTTCCGATACCAAGGGCTAAATCCCGCCAACATCTTGCCAGGCAGATGGTCAACGTCAGGGACGTTCTTGACGAACTGTTCCTCGTGTTAATGCACCCGCCACACGTTCACGGGCATTCCATGTATTGCTGCATTACCGCACGGTGTTACGCCCCGAGGTCTGCTCGGCATGCATGCCTCTGGAGCAGCCATGCCTCGACATGCCGTGCTAAGTTTTTGTTAGTGGCCTCCACTCCTCTGTTCGCGATGTGGCATTTTCACTTTCAGTGCCTGCGCAGCAGCGCTGTAGTGCAGCCGCCTCCAGCTCTTGCGTCAAAGGCGCTCCGTTGTCGTGTTTCCCGCTCGGCCCGCGTGTCCGACGGATCTGCGCGCCGTTCGTCAGCGCGTAAACGGCGTCAATGAATGCCCCACGCCGCCACAGAGCGGGGCGCCACTTTCGCTGTCGCGGCGCGCACGAGGGAGACAGGGCCGGTCGCCTTTGTCAGATCGGAAAGTTGCGGCCCGGTGGCCCGCTGCGCCGTCCAGGCAAGGTGAGAGGTTGACTGGGCCGTCGGTCCACCTCCTGCCGGTCATCATGACGGGCCTGTTCAGGTCCGGGTCCGCGCCGAGGCAGCAGACCGAGCGCGGGGTGACGCGCTATCACCCGCACTTCCGACGGAGCCGGCCATGCCATTACAACCGAAACTTTCGCGCTGTTTGATACATTTTATGTTTCCGTTAGTTCCTTACCATGTTTTTTTCCCTGAGGTGGCAATGCGGTGTCTGATCAGCAGAGCTTACCGCGCGAGCACGGGACTAGCTTCACACAGAATGTCAGGTGCCCGCCAGTCGTTTTTGGAACGCAGGATAGCGGAGATGATATTTTTGGCATAATGCAGCGTTACGGAACAGCTGCCCGGTGTCCGTGGGCTGATATATTCGAAACCATTTCAGGCTATTCCTTAGGCATAGCCCTCGACCTTTCCATGTTGGCGGTCAATGTTTCTAGGGACAGTGGCTCGCACACTAATGCAAATGAAACGCGCAGCGGCACCCAACCGCTCCTGGTTATTGCTGCAAAACAAGCGACAACGCTGAACCCGCATACGTCATAGAATCAAATTTGTACGCGAGGGGCTAGTGAATGAAAATCAAGCGCTGAGTGTTTATCCCATCGTGGACGGATGGCTGGTTTAGAGTGTAACGCGTAGCGAGCTGATGACCAAATGCTGTGTCCGAGGCCGTTCTCCACTCGTTGATAGAAAACGTATGGGCGTTTGTCACAATTAAGATCTTATCGGCATCGTAGGCACCGCCCGGTAGACTTGCTGGGTAATCACGCCTTCGCCTGCTCGGTGTTTTGTGGCGGTTTTTGTTGTGTAATTGACGGTATGGAGGGATGGAAGCACTCATTCCTGAAAGACAGTCGGCCTGGCCACTCTTGCAAGAGGCGTCGTCGGTGGGAGTCACGCACGCTGGACATGGCCCACAGTGCCGAGGCGAAGCAATGGGCCGCTGCCGCACCGAGCTAGCTCGCCTCACTGTTCGACTGACACGTCTGACTTTGTCTCGTGCTCAGCCATGTCGCCTCCGTATCGAGCACGCTGGCACCGCCCCTGATCTGCGACTATCCCGGGACCTGCATGCGAGCACGCACTGAGCATAAAAACGGCCTCGTGCCGGCCAAGCGTAGAGATCAGGAACAAGCAGTTTCATCCGGGTCAGAAACAAAAAACGGCGTCATCAACAGCCAAGCCTCTTATCAAAGCCGGCTCGTTAATTCACCGGGCTTCTGAGTTCACATGCAGTGGATGGCATTACCATGGTGATTGTCATCACGAGGCCAGGTACCTCTCAATAAGCACCCGGACCTCCTGGTGTACCCTGACATTACTTTGCGTTACTTTCACGGTGCCCGGAGGGCTACTGAGCTGATGTCGGTGCTGTTTGTCGTCCCTGGAGGCTGAGCATCCGCGTTGCTTTGCGACAGTATTCTAATTCAAACAAAAGCGACCGTCTGCAGTATCAGGTGTTTATTTACACATCATGCGTACAATCGGCATGCCACTGAAGGCTGGTCACTACTGAGAGCCCGGCTGTGGCAGGGCCGCCCCCCTGTCGCCTGGCCTCAGTCTTGAAAGCACCGTCCCAGACCAGTGCTTACGACCATGTTCAAAGGAACCATGTATTTTCCGTGTTTGTGTAGTTATTGCCTAGATTTCCGACACAATCATGAGAGTTATGCAGATGGGCGGGGCTTTTTGAGACCAGCCGGACTTGGTCCGCAGCTTGGGGCCACCCATTCAGACCACCAGTTTTCCGGGGAGGGGACCTGTTCAGCTATTACAGGTGAGGTGGGCATACACTGCACCATGCTGAGTCGGTTGGGTCCTTCGATAAAAGGCATAACCAGGAATGGCGATGCCTGTTCGTTTCTGATGGCCTCGACACCTCCGAGCTGGATTTCGGTCCCACAGTGTTGAGAGAAATAAATGGATGAATTAAAAGTGAGTGCAAAAGTGGGCACCACACAAAGCCTGCATGCCTTCGGTGTAATCTGATGGCCATAGTTTTTATGCTTCTGACGTCAAAGAGTATTTAATAACTGACACAAATATTTATCAGCCCCAGCTCATTGCCATGGTTACTCAAATGTATTTAAAAGTATACATTTGTCTGAAACTTCTGCCCTCTGGTTTCCGGTTTGGAGGCAAGCACTTCCACAAATCGGCACCTCTGCGCCTGGCGACCGCGACGATCCAATTCTTTCAACTGTTTGCCGACACAGGGCTCGACTTACAGGAGAGCCGACACAGGGATGGGCCAACAGAAGAGACGACACAAGGCTGGACCTACACGAGAGCCAACACAGGGCTGGACTTGCAAGAGAGCAGACACAGGGCTGGGCTTACAGGAGAGCCGACACAAGGCTGGACTTACAGGAGAGCCGACACTGGGCTGGACTTACAAGAGAGCAGACACAGGGCTGGGCTTACAGGAGAGCCGACACAAGGCTGGACTTACATGAGAGCCAACACAGGGCTGGACTTACAAGAGAGCAGACACAGGGCTGGGCTTACAGGAGAGCCGACACAAGGCTGGACTTACATGAGAGCCAACACAGGGCTGGACTTACAAGAGAGCAGACACAGGGCTGGGCTTACAGGAGAGCCGACACAAGGCTGGACTTACAGGAGAGCCGACACTGGGCTGGGCCTACAAGAGAGCCGACACAGGGCTAGACTTACAGGAGTGCTGACCCAGGGCTGGACTAACAGCGAGCTGACACCAGGCCAGACGAGGAGGGAGAGGACATCGGGCTGGACCAACAGAAAGCCGACACCGAGCTGAACTAACAGGGGAGCCGATATCAGGTTGGACGACGAGAGGAGCCGACTCCGGGTTGGATTAACGGAAACTAACACGGAGATTGACTAACGGGAGTTGACAGAGAGCCTGGCTTGGTGGGGCCGACACACAGCCTGAATTGCAGAAGAGTCGGCAGTTGGTTTAAACTCCAGGGCACTAAAAAGGTGTCCTTCATTTTGGATTGTAAGCGGTGGCAGCCTTGCTGTTCCAGACCAATTATTGGGAGGCGACACTGGGAAAGGTTTGGTATCTGTCACCGAACCAGATATACTCGTTCCACCCAATTGCCCTTTGTACATTGGCATGTAGCCGGCCGAGGAAGACATAAGGAAAACGCAGGCTGTCAAGATCGGTCTCGCTAGGTCATTTAGGTGCCAGGAGACTGCGCGAAAAGAGCTGAGCTAGACAACCAGGTGACATACTGTTGAATG